TAAAAAGATTTGTGTCAGTCGATTTGAAGAATTAGCATTCGTTTTAGTACGACATATTTTGTCGCGTTTTTTCATAAATAAATCAAATTTACAGACCATTTTTTTTGTAAAGAATAATTATAGTTGAGTTTGTTTAATTAGTGAATGCATTTTTTTCCTGTCATGTTTCTAATTCTATAACCTTGGTTTTTTAAAGTAATTATGTATCCTATTCGAGTCGTCTGGAATTGGCAGTTCTACTGACAAAGCAGCAAGATCTTTCAAGAATCTTATAATATGAGTTAGCGTAATATGTCTGAGACTATGACATTTTATACAATTTTTGTCTAATTACCTCGACTGTAGGGAGAATCATGTGAAAAAAAATGGATTGTGTGTGTGTGAATTTGTGGCAAGGTCAAAAGAACATCGGAGTCAAAAAAACATTTGATCAGCGATATTTTTTAAAGGTTCACGAAAGTAAATCGGTGGCGGGAAATCCGAATCTGAAGTCAGTTTCTTAAAATTTTGAATTGATTTTTTTGGGTTCAGGGAAAAATTTTTTTAAGAAAATAATAATATTTCCTCAGGTATAGGAAGAGTTATATGAAATAAAATAAATTTTTGTCTATTATTGTCAAAGTGAACGATGAAACGTCATTAAAAAACCTTGGCTAAGTGTTCGGTGCTCGGGCTTTTAATATTGGGCTTTTCACCAATTCTATTTGTCAAACTGAAAATTCAGTTAATCCGACGTATGCGATAAGTTCTTCCTGAATGAGCTGTTTTATAACTAGGTTTCCACGGATGAGGCTTGTTTTCAAAGATGTCGATCAGTTTCTTCGACTTTTACGATTCAAGAAATCAAAGCTTGAGTCAGTTATTGTGACGAAGCTAGTAGATCAATTCTTTCGATACTCACATGTACAATATACTTCTGTCTTAAACAGTCGAGGGTCAAGTGAGTCGAACCGACGAGCGTTACTTGTTATATGACCTAAGAAAGTATCGGATATTAATTGTTCTATTACTATTCAAATTAATTTTCACTGACTAATAATTTTCATTTAGATTTATTCAAGATAACTATTTTTTTTCTCCTAAAAAAAAGACAAGAAAAATTTAGAAAGTTTGTTTTTTGTTTCATGTTTAGACTATGTTCATTTTTTTAGAATAAGTTCATGAACAGTTATATTAGGATTTGAAAATCGTACCAATGTGTCAGAATTATTTGGACTAAATCGTAAGATATGAGGTACCTATTTT